TGTTTGTTTGTTTGTTTGTAATTAAGCACAAAGCTACACAATGGGCTATATGTGCTCTGCCCACCACGGGTATCGAAACCCGGATTCTAGCGTTGTAAGTCCGCAGACATACCGCTGTACCACTGGGGGGCATTTTGGAAAGTAAGAATCTTCTGTGATAAGATTTTCAACAATTGTGCAACCTAAATATATAAATTTGACCAGAGTATAATATATACATATGAATATATATCCGATCAATAGGCATGTTTTAGAAAACAACCGAAGGAAAAGTCAATTAACGTCATAATCTACGTTTTACCGTAAATAAATACCATTTGGCTTTAATACGTTTTCTTGTTTTCAAGGACCTACTAAATTGTTTTATATATTGTTTATTTATAAAAACTAATACGTTAAACTTCATTAAAAACAAACATTGCTTTATTCAAGTATTTAAGATCCATCAATGTCTTTATTAAAATTTTGCATTTATTTTAGCAATAAAATATACAGAATTTTCAATTAAAAATAATACAATACTTAAAGAAGCGTAATATTTTAAACAAAGATAATAATTATTAATTTAAGAAGATACTTCAAGAACTTTTAGAAATGCAATGCAATACGTGTTTCTTGAGATATAAAACTTAACGTAGTTAGTAATCCAAAGAGTAGTGATTCTATTTAACGTATTATTCTTGCACAGAACTGTATCTGCCTTTATGAAATTATATAAAACTTTCAATACTTTGCAATAATCAGTTTTTTGCCACAGTTAAAATGCTATTGCAGCGTGCTCATTTTGAAAAAAACGAAAATGAAACTGAAGCATAATTTTATGTTTTCTGTGTATACGATATGCACGCTGAATAACACGAGCAGCTTCATTCTGTCTTCGGATTTTATAACTCTTGAAATACTTTGCTATTATGCAAGCAGCAGTGTTCCAGTGCTTCCAATCATAAGAAGTGCCAACGACCTCCATTGTCTGTCGATTTGGAAAAATACATAGAAACTTGTGTTCTATCTCCAGTATAATATTATCTAATTCTGTACTTTCTTCAATGTCGCAAAGGTAGAATCTGACAACGGCGTTCAGAACATCTAAACAGTGAAGTCTGTATTCACTAGAGAGAGGTATGTTTAAAACAGTTATAGCTGCATTATTAGGTTTCTTTATCTGCAAAGGAGGGTCTAATTCATTCAGAAAGGCAGATAGATTATAGACAGATAAAAGCTGGGTAGCCTTTGGATCAAAACGTGCCCAAGTAGCATAAAAATTGTCCAAATCGTCATTGCATAAGCCAATGATTTCATCTTCTTTGGCGCGTTCGTAATTCTCGAGGACTATCGCCACATACATGTTTACAATAAGACTTGCGATAAGCAGAAAAGAAACAAAGTATATAAAAGCAACACCTTTGTTCCCATAGTTACTTGTAGGCATATTTTCAATATTATCGCCATAACCAGTGTGAGAGTGAATTAAGGAATCAAACACATCGTTCCAACCAGCAGTAGTAGTAAGTCTGAAAAGTAGCAGAAAGCTCCGCCAGAAATTACTAAAATTAACTATGTCATCTAGTGCTCCTTGTTGGGGAGTATTCCCGAAGAAAGACATTCCTAGAACAGAGTATATGAAGATGTGAAGAAAGAGTAAAAGACAGATGTTTATTAGCGCTGGTGCTGACGTCAGGATTACAAATATGAGGCGACGTATCCCTTTAGCTGATTTAATTAAACGGAGAAGCCTTGCAATACGTAGAAGCCGGGCGACTCGAATAATTGTGGTATTTACAAAAGAACGTTTCAAAACATCTTCTATAATGATACCTGAAAAAGATAACAAGCATGATTAACTAGTAATATATGTGGAAATAACAAAATGGACTACTATGGAAGTCCACATTAATGAAAGGATGGACTTCCCGGCTGAGTGATTTTGACTAAAAATACGCTTTTTTTATGTTAAAAACATTTGTCCTTTTTTGTCTAAATTCGAAATATAAAAGGAATAATAGATTAATTACCAAAATGGAAAACATGCAATCAACTATATACACTTTAAAACTGTATTTGAAAACCTAATAATTATAATAACAATAAAAACAAATAGCAGTCATGATAAATGTCAATAACACACACATAACGTAATATTTACAAAAGCAGTCAAGGTTACAGAATTGTAATATTAGACAAAACAGATTATAATAACAAAACTTCTGTTCATACTCTTTCGCTTAAGTATTGTTAATCTTCTTCGTTTAATTGAGCTGTATTTTTACTTGCTTTCCTTCAGAGATAATTTTTTTTCATGAGTTTCATGGTCAGCGGTAAATTTCCGACCTTGCAGCGTTAAATCCGGAGTTTGATTCTCTGCGGTTGACAGAGAACAGATTGTGTAGCTTTGTGTTAAAGAACAGCATACTAACTAATACTGGCTTTAATGATGTTTAAAATCTACTAAACAAGCAGGCCACATAATGGATACACAATCAGAGCAGTTCAGTTTATCTATCAAGAAGAGATTTATCAATAATTCTAAAATTACGATTACGTAAATTGCTTTCTTGTGACAATGTTAGAACAAAATTGTTTCGTTTTGTGGTATAAATACTCATTAAACATTTTTTATAGTTAATTATTACAATAATGGTTGATTGGCGTCATTAAGTAGGTCTGCACCTTATGTACTTCTAATTCGGTTAAATTGTCGTAGATGAGTAAAGAAGATTATACACTAACAATGTTGCACTTTGAAGTTTTGCTAGTTGAACATGTGCATATTTTCATTAATGTTTTCTGATCAATTAGAGATTATGCTTACTTTTAACTGTTTTTATATCTACTTAAATCCTTGCCCTCTAGTGGATCAGCGAAAAGTCCGAGGGCTTATAACTCTAAAAATAGGGTTTCAATACCCGCGGTGAGAAGAGAACATATGACCCATTGTGTAATTTTGTGTTCAAAAACAAAGAAACAAAACTTCAGTTCATGCTCTTTCCTTTAACTTTACTACATTTTTATTTACTTGCCTTCAAGGATAAATCAAGATTTATGTTATTTTCTAAGTTCATTTTTGGGCGATTCTTCCTCTTGCCACAAATACGTTTGCTTTCATACTTACTTACTGAATATTTTATTCCTCCAGTGAACTGGTGAGTCTAACTAGTTGTCATTCAATTAACGTTAATTAATTAAAATTACCACAGTGTTCTTAGATAAGAGTCGTTTTTTGTGTCTCTGACCAAAATTCATGTTAAGCAATGTGTATGTAAATGTAGACGACTTGAATACGAATAAACTTGGCATCAAAACATAAATAATAAAATACATTTTAAGATAAAACATAGATATCACATTTTAATATCACATAAGTTTTAGTTTCTTAATTATAAAAAGAAATATTTAAATAAATCCTCAATCTTCCATTGTATGATAATCATTTGTTCTCTAGGTCTTGCCCATTCACTAATTTATTTACCTCTCCGAAGACAGGAATTTAACATAAATTGCTCATTGTAATATAGATATTAATACGTCAAATTCTAATTTTTATACCTTTCAATCTTCTTTGTCTACAGAGACATAAACTAGAAAGCAAGACCCACTTTGTCACGCCTACCTA